GAACTTTGAAGCAAATCAAGTCCCTTCAAATAAAAGCTATTGCCAAATCATCTAACCTGTATCTGCCATTAGGGTCGAAGGCGGAACTTATTTTCAATTAGAATAGTTGTTGAGACTATCAATAATTGTTGAATCTCTTAATTTCATCTGCTAAGTGATTCACATAAATTAGACTTCGAATTTAATTTGTCCGGCAAGCCCGACGCAGGGGTAGAGGTTATTAGTAAAAAGTAACAGCACTCTGATTTGCCTTATCGCAACTGTTACGGCGTGTGAATTAATCATAAAGTGAAAATAGTATCTAATAGGAACGTATTGATGGAGTAGTTTAATAGCAATGTGATAAATCATTACCATATAAATTCGCGCGTCACAATATTCTTTAAAAAAGAACGCTTTAGTAGGAATTACCTATTTAAATTGTGCTTAGGAAAACGAATAATACATAGATTAAAAATATAAAATATTTTTAAGTTCAGCAGACAGACAGTGCCAAGATAGATATATTTAGAGATCACCAAAAGAAAGTAGTCTAAACAATGCTAGGAATAAACATATATGAGATAACATGAGCAGGGTTCAAAGCGATCTGTCGATGCAAAACCAGAAAACGAATCAAATCCTGTCGACAACTGGATTTTTTATAGAAGTAACGTGGCTCTACCCCGAAATTATGTAATTAAGCAATAGATAAATTAGCTGATTAAGAAAAACAGGGTACACGTCTAAAGGAGAGAAATATAAATATAAGGCAAGTAGAATATAAATCATACGGAAGCCCAAATTAAACCAGTGTGGATTTGATCAGAGTGGAAACCTCGGTGTTTTTAATACTGTCAGGCGGGGCTGTACATATACACAAATGAGATATTGTTTTTCGGTTGAGAAATAAAAGTCTACGTTTGCTGAATTTATGTCGATAACCGCATGTGGGTTTACAATCAACAAATGCAATAGTAGAAAATCAAGAGGCAGAATAAATAAGCCATAAAAGTATCCTCAATAACCCTATCTTAAATATAAAATGGTTGAAAGATAAAATAAGGCTAGGTAAAAATAGGATCGAAAGCCTCAAGCCAGCCGGACTCAAAGCAAGCCTCAGAGAACCTAGAGTGAGTCCAATGCTTGGCGGCGGAACGCATTAGTTCCAGATCAGAATCCCTCATAATGGTGAAAATGTGGGAAAAAACATTCGCATACTCTTCAGCGGAGCCGGCTAAAAAACCCACCGTTCCAGACATATAAGAGCAATTAGATGCATAAAGATAATTTGGATAAGCCAAGGATTTTGGTTCTGGAATTTCACCAGTAGAAGTATCATTAACAGGATCATTTGTAGGCTGAAAAGTAGGACCGATAATATCATAGCGAGGACCTCCAGAGTTGTGGGCAACTGTGATCAAGCCAGCAGCCATTCCCTCCACAATACCTAAAAAAGATGAGGCAAATAAAAGCAATTTATTATTGAATATTAGGAAAATAAGTACGCATGTCATCTGGATGCTCTGTAGACGGGTTAGGTAAAAGTATTTATTTACCGTAAGAGGGTTCTTAAAAAGAAAATATCTTGAGAAAACGAGTGATGCATTCAAAAAATAGATCCAAATATTTATGACAGCCGAATTTTGACAATGCACTTTACTATAATGACTTTAATAAAAAGATAATGATCCTCAATGAGTCTACTTTAACAAAATATTCAAAGGGTGCATAAAATTGATATCTTTACATGGTGATAAAAATGTAATAGGCCCATAATTGAATGCATTTCAACATTAATGAAGGACTGGAACTAATTAAGGCTGTAATAGCTATAAATAATTTATTCAGGGCACGATAGAATTTAGTAGATGGGAGATTAACTGATCTTTGTAATGAACAAAAGTAAAAGCAAAACAAGTCAATAACGTGAAGCATACCTATTCCAAAGTGTTCCTCCACCATTGTATGCAAATTTACAGTAGCCTTTTTAAAAAGTTTAACTACCTCAATGTAAGGTAGATTAATGCGAAACTCAACCATTTCTGATAAATTCATTTGATTTGAGATATAGCGAAGATGATTGACACGTGCGTGGTCACGAAGGGAACGGCAACCTCCAACAAGGATCAAACGGTATGGAGAATCTTTGCATTTGGATATGCCGAGTTTCTCCAAGAATAAAGCAAATGATTTCAATTGAAGCTAAAACAAAATTCATAATTAGTATTAAAAAAAACACGTCAGTTATTTAAAAAGACTTACTTCATGATTTTTTTCTGGCCTGAACTGGCCTATGGAAACTATCCATTTGTGCCTGCCAACATCTTCATTATCAACAACAGAGTAATCGCTGAAGAATTCAGTTGGACAAGGAGGGAAGAGCACAGACGGACTTCCACCCCACAAGGATTTGATGTGATTTCGTGTCCATGATGAATTAGCAAGCACTAAATGGCAGTTAGAAGGATTTCCAGCCCAACCATATGCGCTTACAAGAAAGCGATAATATACCTGCTTAATCCTAGTAAAGTTTTTGCTAGTTCTAACCCATTTAGGATTATTATATGTAATCTGTGAGTCAATGTCTCGTTCGGAAGCAGATAGATCTAATCGACTTAACATGGCGCTGGAGACTGTCGGGTAATGGACATATGCAGCAGTTATAATCCTTCTAAGACTAAGCAATCTAAATACTGGCAAAGTGAAAGCAAATCCCGTAGTATCGATATATATATCAACTGGACAACGAATAAATGCTTCGACAGCAACAACAATAGAGCCTAACGCCTGTCCAGCAAGAGTAAATACGGGATAGAGACTAGGTTCTAATAGAAACTGAAGGCAAATCGACTGAAAATGAACTGTGTGCTTCTTTTCATCAAAGCTCAGGCCAAATGTGTCCTTCACCTTGGAAAGTACTTTGTCAGGGTTTTTCAGACATTTTGGATCGCCTGTGAGTATCACTATCGCAATGTCACTCCTAAAAAGCGATAGTGCAGATGTAAAAGTATCTCTCAATTTCAATTCTCACTTTTTTAGCATGCATCGGATCGCTGTCCAGAGGACTCGTTCACCACCACCACCAGAATCACAATAGGGATGAAAAAATGCCACGATTTTAGAAGTTGGACTCTTTTTCAGAAGACCCAAAATTCGTTTCCTGGCATAATTTTTGTATAAATTGTGAATAGCTAGGATCGGAATAGTAGCAAGTATAAACGAGGAGACGAAGGCGAAAAAAGAAAAAATGTACACTGAAAGGGAAATCATGTGGAGGATAAGTCAAATGTAGCGCGATTAATAGGCTGTGGTCAGTTTCAGCGGTATATGAAAATATATACAGACTTTATTTGTTGAAGGTGATCTTTTTATATAGCTACAATAACTTAATTTATTAAGTAAATATTTTATATCCAAGAAAAAAACACTTGCTAGGAAATCAGATTGGCATACACATTTATTTTCGTATGTAAGTAGAGTTTTGAGACTACCAGTAAATCAGTTATATGAGATATATTCAGCCTATTTCGTTTAATGTAATGAAGGACTGGTAGTAGAATTTTACCATAATAATATGAGTAGAATTGACATTTCGATTAAATTTCACATAGCCTTGCTTTCCCTAATGCTGTTCACATCTAAGGGTGTCCGGCTATCCCTAAAATTGGTTTATCATCCTTATAGCATACATCGGATCGCTGTTCAGAGGACTCATTTACCATCCCGGACACCCTGGATGAGAACAACATTTATGAAAGCAAGGCTATGTAAAATGCAATCGAAACGTCAGCTCTACTCATATAATTGTGGCAAATTGTTATTACCAGTCCTTCATCACCATAAACGAAATAGGGTGAATATATCTCATATAAATATTTATGCCTAAGCAGTGTTTTGTTGGCTACAATAAGGCCATCAATTAACGGTATCTGCCAATAGACTTCCATGAGGCTAACGCTTTTCATATTCAGGCTATGTATATTCCGAAACAATCTAAAGATCTTGAATAACAATTTAACCATCTTAATTCATATAAGCTGAAAAAAGTTTGACTGCTGAATCCCTTCACAATGATAAGAGTATATTTTATGATGTTGGAGAAGTTAACTCGTCACTGCTCCCAAAAAGGTATTCGCATCCAAGAAGGGATTTATTTTCGACCCTGTTTGGCTCTTATCTACACACTGGACGATATCGAAACCCCATTTTATCTTGAATGAGGATACTCTTGGCATCACAAGGCATAGTAAAATAATTGTAGGAGCATTCAGTCATTAGTTATTCATCACATTATGATATCCATGGTCATTGCAGATCCTATTCAAGTTATGCAG